GACAGATCTATAAGGAAAAGGTCTGGAGCAGGGGTGGGTACAGCCTTTGACTGAATCCAAACTTCACTGAACAAATCCCCTTCATAAAAGGATTTGTTCTGTAAAACTTGGACTCTCAGAAGGCCGAGCCCAGGGACCTAGAAGGCCACATGTGGCCTTGAGGCTGCAGCTTCCCCTGGGTGGACTGTGAGCTCAGGAGCCAGTGAAAGACAGAAATGACGGTGGGAGATGGACATGAAAATGACTAGTATGATCTCAGATGACTGAAAACCACAGTCACTGGGACAGCAGGGAATGAACAGCCCTGCCCTGCCCTGCTCGGCCCACATCTGCAGTTTTATGTTGTGTTCCAGGCACCCATTTTAGGAAGGAAATCGACTAACTGGAGAGGGTTCAGAGTTCTTAACTTGGGTTTAAATCCTCCCTTTAATGCTAATGACCTGTGTGACTTGGGTCTTTGCAGCTCACTTGTCTCATCTGTAACAAGGGGGCTTGTGTTTGACTGCCTCTGAGGTCTCTTCTAGTCCTATAACCATGATCCCATGATGATAATAACAAATAGCTTGCATTTATTTAGCCCTTTAAGGTTTTCGAGATATTTCACGTGTATTATTTCATTTGAGCCTCACAAAAATCCTGGGAGGCAGGTGCTATTAATTATCTCCATTTTACAGTTGGGGACACTGAGGCAGACTGAGATTGAGTGACTTGCCCAGGGTCCTACATGTAGGCAATGTCTAAAGCAGGATTCCAACTCTGGTGCTTCCTGACTCTAGAGGAGCCTTCTAGAATTAGAATTGGTCATTTTTTTTAACCTGAGTTCATGTGCCTTTTGGGGTCATTTTAATTTGCATTATTGTAATCATTGTAAATACTGTTCTTCTAGTTGTGCTTTCTTCTCTCTGTGTTACTTTAAATAAGTTTTCTCATAGTTCTCTGAATCCTGCAAATGGCCTGGAGTCAGGAAGACACAAATATATTATTTTTATTGTCCCCAAAAAGTACTGGTGTGAATATTTTGGCCACCCCTGCTCCTTTATGTATTTGACCTCTCTGGGATACATGCCTAGAAGTGAGATTGGAGGGCCAAAAGGTAAGACCAATTTCCTAACTTCTCACTTGTAAATTAATTTCCAGAACAGCTAGACAAACTCTCAGCTCTACTCCCAGTGTATCTGAGTGTCTTGTCTTCCCAATGTCCCTCCACTACCATTTTTGTATTTTCTGATCTGAAAAGTCAGATAACCTATGCAGAGTGCTTTCCAAACCCTAACATGCTCAGAAAGGTTAGCCAAGATCATCCTCATCCTTAGTCTCTTCTGCCTCAGCTCAGCTCTTTCCTTCCTAGATGTAGTAGCAAGGCAGCTAGGTGGCACAGTGGATAGAGCACTGGGTCCTGAAGTCAGGAGGACCTGAGTTCAAATCCGGCCTCAGACCAAACACTTGACACTTACTAGCTGTGTGACCCTGGGCAAGTCACTTAACCCCAATTGCCTAAAAAAAAAAAAAACCACAAAAACCTAGATGTAGTGGCCAGTAAGGAGCATAGGACTCCAGGGGGAGCAAAACAAGAGGTCAGAGGGATCCTTTGTAGTCCTGGATTTTAATGCAACCTAATAAAGAATTCACTTTTTTAGCTGCTATATCACACCGTAGACTCATATTCAACTTACTGGCCCATAAAACTTTCTGGTCTTGTCCAGATTAACAAAGGCACATGCCTCTTCCATTGTGATTTGAAAAATGCCAAATGGACTTTTGAAAAATCCAAGATTCTAAGTTAGATCTAGCTTGATGCATTTTACAGTTATTTTTAGTTCTGACATCCCCTGTGTTCTAAGGAACCTTCCAGCTCTGACATTCTGTACTCTGAAGATTTTCCCAGCTCTGATAGTCTGCGTTCTAAGGAGCCTCCCAACTCTGACATGTTATGTTATAAGGGTTCTCACAGTTCTGTCATGCTATGTTCTAAGGCCACTTCCAGCTCTAAAATGCTTTGCTTTAAGTTCCCTTCCAGCTTTGCCAGTCTGTGCCATGCGTAATATTGCCACATGGCAGGTTGAGTTTGTGGGTATGTACAGAAGTTAGGCAGCAAATGTCCATCACTTAGTACAGAGGTTGGTTGGGGGCATATGTGACAGGATGCGTGTGTGTACATGGCAGGGTGGGTGTGTGTGTGTGTGTGTGTGTGTGTGGTGTGTGTGTGTGCGCGCATACATGGTGGGGTAGTGTGTATGTGTATGCATGGCAGGGTGGTGTGCGTGCATGCATGGTGGTGTGGTGTGTGTGCATGTGCATGGTAGGGTGGTTTTTGTGTGTATATGGTACATGGCAGGGTGGTGTGTGTGTATGTATGCATGGTGGGGTAGTGTGTGTATGTATGTATGTGCATGGTGGGGTGGGGTATGTGTGTATGTGTGTGTATAGCGGGGTGGTGTGTGTGTGCGCGCATGGTGGGGTGGTTTTTGTGTGTATATGGTGCATGGCAGGGCGGTATATGTGTGTGTATATGTGCATGGTGGGGTAGTGTGTGCATGTATGTGTGTGCATGGTGGGGTGGGGTGTGTGTATGTGTGTGCATAACGGTGGGGTGTGTGTGTGTGCATAGTGGGGTAGTGTGTGTATGTATGTCTGTGCATGGCGGGATGGGGTGTGTGTGTATGTGTGTGCATAGTGGGGTGGTGTGTGTGTGTGTGTGTGCATAGTGGGGTGGTTTTTGTATGGCAGGGTGGTGTGTGTGTATGTGTGCATGGTGGGGTAGTTTTTGTGTGTATAAGGTACGTGGCAGGGTGGTATGTGTGTATGTATGTGTGCATGGTGGGGTAGTTTTTGTGTGTATAAGGTACGTGGCAGGGTGGGGTGTGTGTGTGTGTGTGTGTGTGTGTGTGTGTGTGTGTGTGCTTGTGTGCATCTTGTATAGGATTGCAGGGCAGGAAGGAGCTCTAGAACAGAGGCTAGTAGGACATATTGGATTGTATTCACACTTAGAAGAAAGAGCAGCCAGGGCCAGTTGCCAGGGAGGATCAGGTTGCTAGTTTTTTACTAGAAGATGAAACATAAGAAAGTGACTTTTAGAGAAGGGAGAATTTGCAAAATTGCCAACTTCTTCAAAACAAGATGTGTACCACACCCTTGCCTCTGCCTCCTCTTCCTTCCCCAGTGCTTTCCCAGGGACCGAGTCACCACTGATTCATGCTTCCCTCTTCACCCCCTTCCAGTTTCCTTGCCTAGTTCCTCCAAGGAGGGAAGTCAGTGCCCTTTGTGGGAGTCCCCCTCTGAAGAGTTAGTTCTATCAGAGGTAAAAAAGGAGACAAACTCGAGGTTATGGCAAGAGCCCGGTCCTGAGTCAGCAGATCGGAGTTCTTGCCCCATTTCTTTTACTATCTATGTGACTGGGGACAAGTAACCTCATCTTTCTGGGCCTTAGTTTCTTGCTAGGAAATGTCATTTCCCCATTGTATTTTTCTTCTTGCTCCTCAACCCAAAGTTAGGACTTCTTGTGTACCTTTGAGGCTGGTTGATGCCTGGGAATGAAACAAAAAGATGTTTTCCTGATACATAGGCATCTTAACTACCCATTGTCCCAAATGGTGGGCTTGCCTACCTGACTGCTCCTATCTTTTCTTTTCTTTCTCATAATGGGAAGGCAGAGTGAATGAGGAGGGGAAAGAGATTAGAGAGGTTAAAGGAGAGGAGTGAGAGAAGAAAATTTTTGTCTCACCCAGGAAATGGGATCAGAGAGAGCAGTAGGAGAAGATGTTGCCCTGGCCACATCCATTTCCTGGGTGTGGATCTCTCTGTGATGTGTGATGTGTATGCTCACTCTTCCCACTGATCCCGAGTACGTTTGTGGAATAGTGTGTCCCGGGGATTCCTCATTCAGTGAATGCCTTTGCTTTGAGATGATTGTGTCAACTGACTGACTATTGAAGATAAGCTCATTGGTGGGGGTTCAGGAGTCCCTTAAAGCTGTGTTGCCATTCCCCTGTGGAATCTGGCTTCTGACCTTAGCATTCAGTTGAAACTGAACTCTCTCCCATGTCTCCACTGATCTCTCGACTGCCAAATCTTGATGGCCTTTTATCAGTCCTCATACTTTAGCCTTTTTTAGATGACTGATAAAAATCTAAATTTTTTTAGGTGACTGATAAAAAATGTATTGTGTTACGTTGTTAAAGAATTCCCCATTCAGTCATGTGGGTCTCTTTAGACAGCATTCACTCTTCTTTTTCTGAGAAATCATCTGTCCTTGTGACATCAACATTTCAGCATCATCTCCCCAGCATTTCTTTTTTTATTTAAGTTTAAAAAATTAAAAAAATTTTTTTTACAGATCTTTTTTTTTTCCAACCATTTTCCCTTGTGAATACATTTCCTTCACTTCCCTTACCCATTGAGTCTTCCCTGGCGTCAAAGATATGTATGTGGCTTTATGTGTGTATATATATATATGTATATGTAGCTATAAGTGCATATATGTATATATACATATATACAATGTTATATGTTATATATATAATGTATGAGATATATTGTATGTCTTATATGTAATAAATGTTATATATATATAACATTTATAATATAAATATAAGTATTTATATAATATAATATATATTTGATGTTGTTGAGTCATTTTTCAGTCATGTCAGACTCTTCATGACCCCATTTGGGGTTTTCTTAGCAAAGATACTGGACTGGTTTGCCATTTCCTTCTCCAGCTCATTTTACAGGTGAGGAATTGAGGCAAACAGGGTGAAGTGACTTACCCAGGGTCACACAGCTAGTAAGTGTCTGAGGCTGGATGTGAACTCAGGAAGATGAGTCTTCTTGAATCCATGCCCATTTTCTATCCATTGTGTCACTTAGCTGCCCGCATATATAATACACACGTATGCAGGTGTGTATATCTTTATCTATATACACATATTTAAAAGAATCCAGAATGTGAACTTTTAACTTCTTATACTATCCTTAATAAGAAATTATCTGTCATCTTTTAGGCCCAGAAAAGTGTTGGTCAGCTGCCTCTTTCCTGTTCAGAATGATGGATGAAGAGAACTCCCGGATAGATTCCGACTTCAGATACACTCTCTTCCCCGTTGTCTATGGTATCGTCTTTGTGCTGGGCGTCATCTCCAATGGTTATGTGCTGTGGGTGTTTATCAGCCTCAATCCCGCCAAGAAATTAAATGAGATCAAGATCTTCATGGTCAACCTGACGGTGGCTGACCTGCTCTTCTTGGTTACTCTGCCCTTGTGGATTGTCTATTATTTTAATCTTGGCAACTGGATCCTCCCCAAATTCCTCTGCAATGTGGCAGGCTGTCTCTTCTTCATCAATACGTATTGTTCTGTTGCCTTTCTTGGGGTCATTACTTACAACCGCTTCCAGGCTGTGACAGACCCCATCAAAGCGGCCCAATCCACCACACGCCGCCGGGGCATCATCCTTTCCTTGATCATCTGGGTGGTGATTGTGGGGTGTGCCTTATATTTCCTCTTCATGGATTCCACCAACGTTGTTTCCTTGAAGACCGATGGGGGAAATGTAACCCGCTGCTTTGAACATTATCAAGAGGGAAGTGTGCCCATCCTCATCATCCATGTTGTCATTGTCTTTTGCTTCTTCATCGTATTCCTTGTCATTCTGGTCTGCAATGTGATTATTATCCGGACCTTGTTGGCTCAGCCCCTCCAGCCCCAGAACAAGGCTAACGTTAAACACAAAGCCCTCTGGATGGTCTGCACCGTAATGGCTGTCTTCTTCATCTGCTTCGTGCCCCACCACATCGTCCAGTTGCCCTGGACCCTGGCGGAGCTGAAGATGGGTTTTAAGGAAAACCATCGCATCCATCAGTCCATCAATGATGTCCACCAGGTTACCCTCTGCCTCATGAGCATCAACTGTGTCTTGGACCCCATCATCTACTGCTTCCTCACCAAGAAATTCCGAAAACACCTCTCAGAGAGGTTACAGAGCATGAGAGGGAGTCGCAAATGCTCCCGGGTCACCACAGACACAGGTGTGGAAGTGGTCGTGCCCCTCAACAACTACCCCATCAATCCCACGAACAATTAGGCCGTGGCTCCCCTGACCCAGAGTCAAGAACCATTGCCCTGCAGGGGTTTTGCTGGGATCTAGAAAGGAAAGAGAAGGCCCTCCACCTGAGCCCAGAAAGTACCCTCTGCCTTATTTCTCTGGACATCTACAGGTCAAGTCTGAGCAGAGGTGAGATAACTTCTCCAAACCAGGCTGAGAAGATCCAAATCTTGCCTGAACAGGCTGCTCTGTCTTCCCTTAGAAAAATACGCCTGCTCTCAGGAAACCCTACTCTCCTCAGCTTCCAGGATCATGTTAGAGAATCGGCATGCACTAGTGTGGTGGTTCCCATTTAGTGGTTCACAAGCCCCTTGGGGGTTCAGTATGATGGTGCTGAATAGAGTGCCAGACCTGGAGTCAGGAAGACCTGAGTTTCTTACTGGCTGTGTGACCTTGGGCAAGTCACTTAACCCCTTCTGCCTCAGTTTCCTCATCTGTAAAATGAGCTGGAGAAGAAAATGGCAAGCCACTCCAATATTTTTGTGACCCAAATGGGGTCACAAAGAGTTGGACACGACTGAACAACAACAACAAAACCCAGTAAATTATCACAGGATATTATAATTATTACATAACATTACTGTGGGGGTTTGCAATACATTTTGTTGTGTGTTCATCTAGCAAAAAATTTGGAAACCACTGCTGTAGGGAAAATAACACTGGATTTGCTGCCACAGGACCAGGGTTCAAATCCCGGCTTTTCTATTTATGGTCTTCACAATTCTGGGCAAGTCAATTAACCTCTCTAGGCCTTAGTCTTCTCCTCTGGAAAATGAGGGACTTACACAAGATGATCTCTGGGGCTACTAAATCTGTGACTCTAAGACTCCCATTCTGTGAGACAATGCCAGAGTCAAGGCTGGACCCAGAACCCCAGCCGTCTGATTCCTCCCCCATTCAATGACTGTATTATTCCCTGTGAATCCTCAACATCTCAATGGAAGTATCCCATAATCCTCAGGGTGACAGCTCCCATAAAATATGGTTCTATGAAGGGCTAATTTGATTGGATGTATGGAGCCCACGGGACAAAAGGAGGGATTGAGAATCTTCCCCAGTGGAAATTTTTCCCTTAGTGATGGGGAAGATGATGAATTGACTGCTTTATGTTGCCCTCATTGGAGGCCTGAATCACATTTCTCACAGGGAGGGACTGTCACTCAACCTCCCCAGCTAACAAACTCTGATGAGGAAAAGAATTGGACCACGTGAACTCTATGGCCACAAAATCATAGATTTGGAGAGCTCTGTGTGTGTGAGTCTGTAAGCCCATAGAGCCTGGCACAGTGTCCTGGAGGTAGAAGGAGTCTACTCAGCAGTTGCTGAGAATTTATCAGGTGTATAGTGGCCAGAATAATAGACTTTGAATTCAGTTTCATCCATGTTCCAGTCTCATCTTTACCTTTTTGTGTGTGACTTTGGGCAAATCACTTAACCTTTGTCCCTTCTTCTGTAAACGCAGATAATAAGACCTGCCCTGTCTGCCTTACGGGGTTGGGTTGTTTTTTTATTATTTGTTTTTTGAGCATCAGACAGAAGTGAGACAACATCTATGAAAGCACTTTGTAAGTCATAAAGTCCGGTGGGAACACACTTCAATGCTTCTAGACTTCCAAAGATCTGTGAAGTTATCTGCCTGGGTATTCCTACCCCCTCAGTTTGCAGTCCCTTCCACACTTGTATAGACATGCTGTGGGCTCAAACGTTCAACATCCGGTGCCCAACACTACGGTAATGTGCCTTTCCAACCTTAGCCAGGCTACTTCTGACTTGACAGATGTATAATCAGTTCATGGAGAGTCTACACTCAAAGTCTTTCCAGTTTGATACAACCAGCCAATGTATGAAGAAACAGGTTTCACCTGCATGCCACAATAAGGCAACGGAGGAAGATAGTCATGTAAAGCAACAAAAGAGTGAACTGACCCCTCAGCCTACTCCTGACGTGAGTGACATTGACTCCTTCCCGGGTGCTGCAGTGGAGGCCTTTCCAGAATCCTTGTTTCAAGAGCAAGCATGGCAGGGAGGGTACAGATATGGCAACTGGAAACTAGAAATCCATCCTTCTCTTCCACTGAGATGGATTGACCCTTCAAAGCCCACACATAAAAGTCCAGTTCAAAACAAATGGACAGCTGCAGCCTCAGCTAGACCTTGAACAAAGTCTGTGGTGTGTGTGTGTGTGTGTGTGTGTGTGTGTGTGTGTGTGTGTGTGTGATACTTCTATATCAGGGGACAGCTTCTGAAGCCATTGCTCCAAAGCATGGCTTCCCATCTACCTCACTGCCTGGGCCACGTCCAGACACTGAACGCTGTGTGGTTTGGAGGATGGGGGAGTAGGGTGGGCATTGCACTCTTGAATTCAGTTGGCAGATGTATGCAGATAATAACCAAGTGAGATTTCCCCAAATGTAGGGAAAGAGCACTGAGTTTAGAGCCAGAGGACCTGGTCCTAGATGTAGGGCTGGATTTAGACCTTTGGAGAGGAAATGGATCCCCAGTGAGGGGAAATGACTTGCCCATGGTCACACAGGTACTGAGCAGTAGAGCTGGGATTCTAAACCAGGTCTTTTTTATTCTAAAACTGGGGCTTTTTCCACTTTGTCACATCTTTGTCACAACTCCAGTTCTGTCCGTATAACCTTGGGCAAATCTACGCCTCTGGGCCTCACTTGCCTTATCTATAAAAATGAAGGGGTTAGTTTAGATGATTCTTATGGGGCCTATCAGCCACAAAAAAACCTTGGTAACAGTTACATAAACTTTAGTGATTCGCTGGCCCTAGCGCTTAGTTTAGAGTAGTTTAGAGTATGGTCGTTGGTTTAGAGTAGATGGTCCTTGACATCCCTTTCAACTCTTAAATTCTGTGCTCTCCCTGCTTTATGAACCAGAGATGCAAAGGGAGCTTTTGGCAAGGATGTACTGGTAAATGTTTAACAACTGGCTCTTTGGAAGAAAAATGCATGCATGACACATTTTTAAGTGTAATGTTCATTATTAACATTTTCCCCATCACTTTAAGTTGAGAGAATCAACCAAACCATAAGTCAAACCCTGCTTTCTGACTTATAAATGCTCTCATAGAAAATTTAACAGTCTGCCAGCCAGCCCATTAGAGCTGGTTCCAGCATGGCCTCTGGGATAATAATCATAATCAATCAATCAGCAAGCATTTAAGAATGTCCCATGTGCCAGATACTGTGCTGCTCATTGAGGATATGGATACAAAGGACAGAACAATCCCTCTTCTGAAGGGCCTCGCAGTTTAAGCCCTGAGGAGGCTACATAGAGAGCACTGGACTTGAAGGCGGCCTGAGTTTGAATTCTGCCTCTGACATCTGCTAGCTGTGTGATCCTGGGAAAGATGCTCTGCCTCTCTGAGACTCTTTTCTAAAATAAGAACATTGGATTTGATGACATCTGGAAGGTTCTTTCCAGCTCTAAATCTATAATCCTATGCCGTGGAGTTGTGTGCTTAGGCAGGACAGAGCTGGTTGGGGACAAGAAGAGGAGGTCCCCTAAATGGTCAGCATCCAGCCTATGTCAGCAAACTCATGTGGAAAATGGGCTGCCTGCTGGAGTTCCAGAGGTTTGTGACCGTCCTCAGTACTGCTGCTACTTTGAACCCTGCTTCTTTGCCCTGTGTCGTGTAAGCATTGGATGTTAAATAAATATATTTTTGATAAGCAAAACAGGAATCACTTTTTCCTTATGGATACTTATCCATCCAAGAAGGGAGAGCTCAGCTGTGTGCTTAGGCTGGCCAGCTGGCACAGTCTGGAATTTTGGAGACTGACCGAAATGGTCAGGTCTAAAGTTGATGATGATTAAGGGGGGGTCCTCTCTAGGAAAGCACCTGAGCCCTTGTTCCCCAATTGATTAGCCCCTTCCCCATCCCTAGTTCTATAAGTGTATGTGTATGTGTTTAAGAATGTGGGTGTGGGGCTGGGATGGAATTGAACAGAACAGTTGTCTTTTTGGGGGTCAGAGGAATCCCCATTTTGCATTTGACCCTTCCAAAGTCACGAGGGATCCTTGGAATCCATAGAGGCCCATGGGGGTGTGTTATAGCCAAACTCTCAGCAAAGTACAACTGTCTACTGGGAAGAGAGTTGACTCCATCACCCAGAAGAGAAGAATGCCTTTTGTCCTTGGTCTGCTCAGGGACAAAAGTGGGACACGAGTCTCTCACTAGCCTTACAGGACATACCCACATTCAGGCCCTAACTTGCTTTCTCCTAGATTGTGGCTAGGCCTCCTAAATAGGTCTCTCTGACTCTCCAGCACTGTCCCTTCCAATTCTGCACATGGCCAACAGATTAATCATCTTATTGCCAAGGTCTGATCTTACCACTTTATTCCTCAAAAACCTTGTCTGTTGCTCCTTTTCCCTCATCCCCTATTTATATGGTCAAGACCAAAAGACTTAGTTTGGCATTCATGGTCCCCTACAACATGGTACCACCCTATATTTCTAGTCTTATCTCATAGGATTCTCCTTAACCTGTTCTATGCCCCAAAATGAATTATTCATTTGTCTTATGATTTCCTGTCTCTGCAATTTTGCTCATGTAACTGGAAGGCCTGATTCCATATCTCTGTCAGTTCACAGCTTAGTCAATTTTCAAGGCCTAGCCTGTCAGTGTTCATGGGGATGAGGCATGGCAGGGCACAGGGGCAAGGGAGTACTGTATGCCAGACACTGTGTTAAGTGCTGGGGAAATGAATCAAAGCAAAAAGAGATAGTTCCTGCCCTCAAGGAGCTTATATTCCAATGGAAGGTAGACAACACACCAAAGAATGTGGAAAAGGGCCCGTAGGAGGTGGGGGCCGGGAACTGAGTGGAAGTCCAGAAAAGTCAGAAGCATAGCCCCCATAGGAATGAAGGGTGGCCGGGCTGGGCCCCTCCCCAAGATGGTGGGAAGAGCTCACCAAAGAGAGAAAGGGGTTGTCGTGGTCTGGGGTGCTGGGAACCCTGAAATTCAAGGGTATAGGGCATGGGTCTGCCTCGAAAGAATTCGACCACTCAAGCCTTCCAGTCGAAGTAGCGAGTTTATTTGTGACACCAATATAAGCAGGCCAGATTTTAAGAATCTGAGCAATTTAATGGGGGCAAGATCAATACTTTTATGTAGAAAGACTGTGTGGGAAGATCTGGATGGGATCCAGGAGTGGCAAGTAGCCTGGGTTGGTCCAGAGGGAAAAGAGAAAGGGGCTTGGGTGGGATTAAGGAGTGTCAAGTAAGCTAATTAAATAGTCAAGGTGGACTGGGGTGGTGCAAGGGATGTGGGCTGCATGGGAAAGTCCAGGGCTTTTCCTTTTAGGGGTCCAGATCCCAAAGACATGGTCTTTTCCTTTTAGGGGTTCAGACCCCATACCCTTCAGGGTGGCTTGGTAGGGGGAAGATCTAGA